TCATATAGAGGATCAGGACTACACTGAGACTGGTTCATATAGAGGATGAATCACCTGGTTGCTGCCGTGTCCGAAGGCTTTGCTGGACAGGTTGGTGGTCAGACTGTGGAGGACCAGGTCTCCGCTGGTGGACCCGGAGGCCACGTAGCTGTCGTTGGCATTGAAGGAGACGCAGGTCACCTCTTCTTTGTGGTCCTGAGAGACGGAGACAGACGGAGACCTTCGTGAGATCCTCCTCGTGATACGCTCTCATGTCCTCTGGTTCAGGATGAGGTCTTACCTTGAGGGAGCGGTGCAGTCTCTTGGTCTTCAGGTCCCAGATGTGAACGCCGTGATCCAGACCTCCGCTGACCACAAACTGAGATGAGGAACTCAGACACACACTGGTTTGTTGTTTCTGAGCGGACGATGAGAGAGAGGCGAGATGAGAACTGGCTTTTCTTCTGCAGGTGAACGAGGACATTAAAGAGTGAATATTCTGGTCTCACCCCGTCGCCCAGCTCCACCACTGGGACCGCTGAGGACTTGAGGCTGGACACCACCAGCTTGTCTCCGCTGCTGCTGGCGCTGACCAGGTACTGGTCTGAAGAACCGGTCAAGGATGCTTCTCCTCTTCTCCAGACATCACAGGTTTCATGATCAGACGACGCTCAGTGACAATCAATCTCTCTGCATTCACACAGTCAGCTGCTTTCACTCATTTGAACACTTTTAGCATCAAAGTATTGTGATGAAACTAATTTAATATCAGCAACTGATCATTCACTCATCGTTTGACTCAAAGTCCCAGTTCCTTAGAATATTATGTTTATGGTTATGTGACAATAAAGTGAACATCAAACCGCTGGACTTTAGAAACTCTGATGAACGTTCTGACCTTTAAAAGATTAAAAACGTGATCAAGAAGATGATCAGCAGATTAATCTACAATGATGCACAGAAATAAACACAAACAAACCAATGTGTACGTCCACCTAGTGATTGATTACCAGGTCCTACTACTGACCCATCATCTATATTATCTATAATATATCATATATATATATATATATATATATATATATATATATATATATAGTATGGATACTGTTGGAGCTCCAGCAGGCCTGAGCTAGAGGGTGGCTGCTGCTGTGAGGGTTGAACTGATCCAGAGGAGACATGGAGACCACATCCCAGATCTTCACACAGTCTCCTGTAGACACCAGACGGGTCACCTCCTCCATCTGGGGACGGACACACACACACACACACACAGTAATGTGCAGTAAACTT